GATGATAATGGCGCAATTGATCGAGATAATAAATTTCTTAAATATAAAACAAATTTTAATGATGATGATAGTATATTAGATGAATTTGATCGACGATTACGTGCTTTACATAATAATAATCGACGAAAACAGACAGCAAAAATTTATAAGCCTAATGATAGTGAATCGATTAGCATCGGTTTACAAACAACAAGTGAAATTGAAAATAATACGAAAGAACTCATTCAATATTTTAATGCCCAAGAACGAGTAAGAAAATCAACTAAAAATTAAAAAAGTTTTGCATTTCATCAAATAATATTCTAGTCAAACTCTTCAACAATGACATCATCATTAAAATTTGTTTTATATTTAAGAAATTTATGATATCGATCAATTGCACCATTATCATCAATTGAACTACCATCACTTCTTTTCTGAAGAAGTTCTTGTAAAAATTCATTTGCTTTTCGATATGTTTTCGTTCGACGATCATGTATTTCTTCGCCACTTTTTTGCATACCTATTCGAGATGATGCCCATTCATATTTTGCCATAATAGCACTGTTAAGTCGTTGAACATTTGAAAAGCTATCCTTTTCATTCATAGTGGTTTGTGGTTATGTATAGATTAAAATGAGTTTCAAAACATATAATAAGAATACAAAATCAAATAAGAAAGAAGACTATAAAAAAAAGAAGAAAAGAAAAAGAATTATTGAAGAAAATGAGAAAATATTTCAATCAGTATGTTAAAAAACGAACATGAAAGATGACAGAAACGAACATGTTAAATAAACATAAGATGACAGTAAAGAAATAGTAACAGACGTCTTATACATACATTCGATTTGCCAATGTGTATGTGAAGTCGATAACGAAAAAAAGAAAAGAAATAGTCAAATAAATATAAATAGAGAAAATGAAATTTGATGTTATTTTATAAAAAACTGCAAAAAAAAAGTCTAGTGTTAAGAATAATGTTTATTTATTGAATTATCAAGGGTCATGTGTTTTTTTTCTAAATGAATTTAAGTCTAAGTTGATTTTAGCTTTAGTTAATCTATTAAAAAAATCCATTACTTTACAAAAAAAAGATGAAGATGATGAATTATTTCAGTTTTAGTTTGAAGTGTCATTCAATGATTTGTGTGTCAACAGACATATCTTTTATAATAGTCTCCATTTTTGATATTGATCACATTGATATGCATTGATAAGAGTATTGTCCTTAATCTGTGACCATGAATAATACATCATTACTTTTGTCATAAAATATGCAATTGAAATGAAAGAATGACATTGATGATAAATCAAATGAAGTGATGTAACATAATAAACTCATTTTTGGTGAACACTTTGATTTATTATAAACACAAACATTTTCTAGACACATAAAGTTCATAATAATAGTTTTGAAGATTATTGTTAGATAATTCATAGACAATAGATTCTTTTTATTTTTTTGTACATCATAAATGAATTTATTATTATTTTTATGCTAATATCTTGCAATACAAAAAAACAACAAAGACAGAATGTTCGTCATCGTATTTGATTGCATTTGTTCATCTTCTTCACTAGATATTGCTTAGACAATCATTGTTCCTTTTTTTGATTGTGAATATGATTGTGGTAAGTCCTTTGATAATATACGTTTACTTAGAATACATGATGAAGTTGTCTTTTCTGATTTGTTTGACAAAATCATTTCATATGAGCGATGATTTTTTTTAAAGACATGATTTTATCTATTTTCAGTTACTGTTGCAAAAAAAATATAAATATGATAGCATCTCTCTTTTCAATTAAACTTTGTTTCTATTATATAAAAGGGTACTTTAATAATTAGAATAACATTTTTTTTAAAGGTTTTCCGGACATTGAACTTTTCATCTCTTTTTCTTCGCTTAAAAAGTAAAAAGCTAAATAAAAGGGCTCTGTTAAGGTCTACATCCTGACACTAGAGCCCATTAGACTGGTTCCGGATCCGGTCGAGTTCAGATCTAAAAAGTTTAGATCTGACGCGCTCTATCTGGCATGCTCTTTTAAACCAAAAAAAACATTAAGCATATAGAATGAAGGTCAACAATGAATCTTAGGATGACAAATAAAGTATTTTTAACTCTGGCATGTCAAATATCTCTGCGCTCTCTACATTTTCTTTTTCTTTTTTTTGCTTACTAGACATACGTATCGAAAGTTATCGTTTTCTATTGCAAGGACCTCAAGAACGGTGAGCCTGAAAATATGAGGATAGACGTTCTTATAATGTCTTATTCACACATCAAAGAAGATAATGAATTTGTAGGGAATCTTTTCTGAATGAAACTCTTAGATTCGAAATCAACACTGATTATATCTCTTAAGTTCTTCACTTTTGTTATGCCATAAATAGCAGGAGTAAATAAAGATTATTGCTATCTCAGTAACAGAGTGAATATGTATATCACCAAACAAAAATGTATCACACGAAATTTCGCATAGAGTGTTTTATTCTCTATATCATTCTCTATCTACATAAGACTACAGTACGCTTTTTACTCCTGATATTCATAGTGTAACAATGATATATAATTTAGGTAATATAATTTGTTTTGATTTCAAATATAAGAGTTTTGTTACAGAAAACGATTCCCTAGAAATCCATGCTGTTAAAACCATAGACCAGACGCGGAACAGTTTGCAAAATAAGTAGTTCGATACTTTTGGAAGCATGTGGAAGGGCATGCTGTGATTGTATTGTGAATAAAAATTAAACAGATTAATAGATTGTTCTGGAAGTTTTTACTAGTATACTAGAGACTGTAGGTGGTAATCTGACGAAAATCACATTATTATAAGATAAAATTATCTACTAGTTGAATCATATCGATACCTACTACACAGTACTGAATAATTCTTTAATATTTAACCATTCTTCAGTTGGTATAATAATAGAAAAATTTCGATCATAGTTGTTCATCTCTGATTTAGATAGAAAAGGAAAACTTTTGCTCGTACAATAAACTCCATACTGTACTATATATTCAAGCGAGAGTTATTTATAATAAATTATATTTTTATTGTTTTCGGCGGTCAGGCTTCACCTCTAAGAACAGTTGAAAATGACATGAATAGTTTCATTACAATTGAAAAGATTTACCAAATCTGTAATTCAGGTTATATCTTTCATGATTACACTCAAGCTGAGCTGTTACGATGTCTAGCGAGCCGTAATATTTTTAAATTTACGATGATCGGTAACTATTTATTGGATGGCGCCATCATTCGACTCAGCTTTTGCTTAAAATTCTTCAATTGTAATATGATGTTTATAATTAATAAGGCAATGAATCTGTTCGATCTTTTCCAATTGACGTGTAGACTAACTGCCGCAAATAAATATTGTATAGTACGAACTTAAATGCAGAAGCGAAAGTTTTCTTTACGCAACAGAATCGGAGTTAAGCAGCTATGGTCGAAACTGTAATATGATAGTAAATGAAAAATGATGACATATTATAGAACTACAGAGTATTGTTTGGAGTATCAATATACATACAGAGAAAGCTTCTTCAAGTCGTTCTATAATGTAGCATAGTGCTATCACTACTACTTTTGATATACTCACAGTATTATTATCTAATTCGTTTACGTCCGAAAAATAAATACTATCAATATCATGTCGTTTACCTTGTTGCTCTCGCCAATTAACAACCAGTAAATCCTCTCTATTCAAACTATACATATCCAAAAGTATTTCTTCGAATGAATGTATAGTCTTAATTTGACAAAAATGTTATCCTTAGCAAATGCTGACAAGTACTAATTCATCAGTATCTATTTATTGACAACAATGTCGATTTAAATCAACTCCATTATCCATAACAAAAAAACTTATTTTTCTCAATTATCTATTCCTTCTCATTATGCTCAAAATTCATTTATGAATGAAATAACAAAACAAAAATTAAAATTATTTATCGTTCGATATCACAAATTGTTGTACAAAATTCTTCAACAATAATAAGTACATCAGATACACCTAATGAATCAACATTACCAAATATTTATTTAAGAAATATTACTTTAGTACAACATATTGCTGAACATGACCATTACAATATCGAGAAAACATCTAAACTTGTTGTACGGCATACAAAACACAATCGATTCAATGGAACAACTATTTCCAACGTAATATTGATTATAAACAAATGACAAATATACAAATTTAACTAATTATGTAAGGTTCCGGAAATGCAAAAATAAAGCAGATTTTTTTTCTTCTTTTTCTTATATATGGTTAGATAGTGCTTGATGAGCTGATCAAGAATAGATGTATTTTATCTCTTTTGGAGTGAGTTTTTGGCTAAAAATTTTTACTTTTCGATAATTGACCAATTTTTTTAATTTTTTTCATTTACTTCAAATTCTAAAAGTGTTAGTTTCGGATTCAGCATGAAAAACTGAGTCTAAGAAAGTTATTTATAAATAGCTTTCTTAGACTCTGTTTTTCATGCTAAATCCGAAACTAACACTTTTAGAATTTGAAGTAAATGAAAAAAATAAAAAAATTGGTCAATTATCGAAAATTGACATATCTTTTTTCTTTTTTAGAAACAGTTGATCATAGAAGAAAAATGAAAATTTTTAGCCAAAAACTCACTCCAAAAGAGATAAAATACATATATTCTTGATCAGCTCATCAAGCTCTATCTAACCATATATAAGAAAAAGAAGAAAAACATCTGCTTTAATTGTGCATTTCCGGAACCTTACCAGGTAAATAAAAAAATTTCATATATTTCTTTATCCAGTAGTTAGAAGAAAATAAAGATCATTATTAGATGTTACGTGTCCTTCAATGACAATTTCACTTTTATTTTATGAATGTTTTCCTAAAGGATTGAGTGTCTTTTTACAACAGATAATTTTATACTTTTGTCGAATTCACATTATGAATTCCGAAGAAAAATAGAGTGAGTGTATGTTTTGAGTCGTGATTTTGCGGCTCTTCCACTCACTCATCGAAAGGAAGGAGAGGGAGAGGACGAGGAGGATTTGGGTAAGTTTCCATATTAAACGATGACGACAGACATCATTCTTCTTTTCCAGAGTTTCTTAATAACAGAAAAAGACGCTGAGCTAAAATTTCGAAAAAAAAACGAAGTACCCAATTAAGAAACATGTTGTTTATTAAAGATCTGATCGCGGACTATCTTTCTATGTACTTCTCTCAATTTTCATGTCTTTGAAGAAAATTGATCCTTTTGTGAACTGCTTAACATATTTTGTATTAGTATACCAAAGACAAAGAACACAGGGTGTGGGTTCCACATTTTACCTCGAAATGAGCTGCTGTGATAAGGTTTTTTTTAATTTGCAACAGTATATCAGACTGCAGTGTCTGGCAAAATCTTCTATCTTGAACTCTTACTTTTTAAGCGAAGAAAAAGAATGAGAAGTTCAATACCTTGAAAAATTTTTAAAATGGTCATATATTTATATAAACAGTCCTGGACAAAAATGTCTGTTTCCCTAAACTGGTCTTTTGTTATGATATAGAGCTGATATTTTAGATGTAGATTCATCTTACGTTAGTGAACCCTGATCGCAAGCAACA